GAAGTTAGTAATTTTTGTAAAACTTACCTCTTCTGTATTCTGTAAAGAGTTCTTGAACTTGTTTTTGTAAGTTGTTTAGTTGTAAAGATGGTTTCACTTGGTTTCTCTTGTTTTTTTGGCTAGTTTCTCTTTTTCTCAAAAAATTACCAAAAAAAGAAATTTTCTGAAAATTTGGGGATCAGTGGAAAGAGTTTTTTTTTTTTTTTTTATTAAAAAATTTTCATAAAAAATTTAAAAATATAAATTATCATTAATAAAATAAATATATAATTTTTAATAGTATTTTATCTAAACACTTGAAGTTATTATTATTAGACTTCATAACTTTTTTAAAAAAAAATTTTTTTTTATATTTTAATTTTTATACTAATAAATAAGTTTTGTTAAAAAAATTTTTTTTTACTTAATTTTTTATTTTTTGAAAAAATACATAATTTATATAACTATAATTACAATAAATTATTTTTTGAAAATAAAACAAAAAAAAAAAATTTTTTTTACTACAAATAAAATTAATATTAAATAATTAAATTTAATCTATTTTTAAAATTTTGACAATATTTATTATATAAATTCTTTTTACTAATGTTACTTGATTAATTTTTTTAATAAAATCACTATTTATTTATAGTATATAAAATAATTTTTTTGTATTTTTTCAATATTAAATAAAATTATTTTATTTATTTATTTATTATAATTATATTTTACTTATAGTATGTTTCAAATTTATTGGATTTCTTTTTTTATTAAAAGCTTTATACCGTACATTAAAAATGCCAATAATTATTTAAGATCATGTGTATTGCAGAAACTATCACAGTAGATTTTATTAATAAAAACAATTATTAACCAAATTAATAAAAATATATATACAGCATATTAATTTCGTAAGATTTTTTATATTTAAATATTTTTTATTGCTCTAATAAACATTTTTAAATAAAATTTTTTTACAATTTAATTTTAAGTTTATTTTATTTTTTTTTATAATTTATTTGAAATTATGCTAAAACTAGCAGTGACTCATTTTATGCTTTTCAAACCTTGAATGTTAAATAAAAATTGTTTGAGGTGGCAGAACGACAGGAAACGCGATCCCGATTTTTTTTCTCTAATCTTTTAATTTGCCATAATGCTTCTGCACCGTCGTATTTCCCGATGGCGTGTGTGAAATTTGATGTTTGAAATTTTGGAGTATCCGGCAAATTCCTGGGAGACATTGAAGATTTTAACGGAAAGCACCTACAGCACATGTGACATGAAAGCGATAAAAGAAAGGAAATGCATACTTCGCCTTGAAATAGGTTCGCAAACTTTTGGTCTGGGTTCCGGTGGTTCATTCTTTTTCTTAAAGCTCGTGTTAACAATAAACCTCTGGCTCGCTAAATTATTTTTACTCGAGCGCTTTTCGTTCGCAATAGTTGTGTTTAGACTTCTTGTATCTTCACTACTACCCCTCCTCGACCTTCCGTCCAAAAATTCGTCCTCGTCATCACCAACAACTTCTTTCCTTTCAATCCTTTCGTTGTCATTTGTGATCACAGGTATTCCCCACGGATTGTTCATGACAAACCTGGAGGCAGATCGATTTTCTGAAAAACAATTAAACTTGCTTTTGCGTCTTTTAGATGAAGAGCCGATTAGTATGATATCAGGTTTTACCGAGTCACATGCGCTGAGAAGCGCCTTTTTTCCATCTCCTCGTCTGATTGTAATGTTGCAGGTTATCTTTGAAGTGATGTTAATAAAATTGGGCTTTAATAATAAAATCTATCACGCGCGTACTTACATTTTTGCTTCTTAATTTATATGAAATTTCCTCCAAAATCTTTCGCGCCGTATCCTCTTCATTCTTCATGTACTCTGAGTATTCGATATAATCGAACATATATCTTACATTGTTGCCATATCCCTCTAACCCAAACGACCAAAGACCTTCGGGTGCCGGATAATAAGCCCTTGGAATTTTTATTATGGACACTATGGTCACGTGATCACCCGACGGCTGCAAATAATTATTAAGGGCCCATTCGCATAGGTTTTTGGACGTCTCGGAAAAACGGGGCTTGTGAAACAATAGAATTTTTCGAAGTGGAGGATTCTCGTGGTGGGGTGTGGTGGATTGCATTGATGTTTGCGGCAAAGACGTGTCCTTAATGTGATAGACGATCAATAAGTATCTAAACATGTACTTTTGCGTGGTGAGCCTCTCTGAATGACTTTCCTGAATGTACGGCATAACGCGATCCTGGGCTTTATATATTTTGCACACTCATACTAATCACACCCTTTATTATTATTGTTAATGGATTGGTACATTTAGGGAGGTCTGATCGTGTAGTACTGTATGCCTGAACTCGGCGACTTAACCATACAAGAACCTCAATTTTTACACATGCGTACTTTTCATCAATCATTATTATTTTTAGAGAGATAGCGATAAGGAATGACGGGCACTCACCCTTTTAGCGTTTGGTGATTGATTTAGTTAGAAGCTTGCAATAATTGGTTCTCGTTATTTTTCCCAATTGAGGGCGAAAGTAACTCTCATTGTCATTACATAATAAGACTTCAGCAGGAATGACAAAAAAAAGTTCTTCGTCAGATACGTAAGCAGAGAACAAAGAAATCAGCCAAAATTCAGACATCTTTATTTAATAACTATGATGTAGTTTTTGATTTCTTTGTTTTCCTTATGGGTAGCGATTATCCTCTGCTTCAGGAGGATCATAAAATAAATAACAAAATTATCGACTTTATCGAAGCCTTTAATTTATTTAAATAATTAATGTATTATAAAATATAAGTTATCAGAAATAATATGACAATAGAATCCAACATAAGGACTGCTCAGATTCAACATAATTTGATTTCCAATCAATTATCTGCGTCGTTGGACCTAGCAAGGAGGACCCCACAAAACCTCGTCAACCACTGCGTCGCAGAAATCCCCAACATTAACAAAATTGGTGGCAAATTGATCAAATATTGGTAGATATTTGAGGAATTCGCGTTTTTCCGAGATTGTTCGTTTGTCAATTTGAGATTTTAAGGCGACGCCAAAAATCGAATTAACAAACACCGTTAACACTATCAGGAAGATTAAATGAGGCACGAGGTCTTTCATTTTTATTTTTTCTTGGGATGATGAATAGTGGTATAGCAAGGCGGGCGTTCGAATGGGAAATAAAGGGAGCACGAAAGGTGTGATTTAAATAATGTTGAAAATTTGACTCTCGTAATTAATAATTAACGAATTTATCACTTAATTCCAAAGATCTTTTTAGAGATCCATTGGATTAAAATGTAGTATATGCATCAAGAAATATTACTATATCACCATAAATCCTTTTTTGACCGGTATCTTTAAATTGAATTAATAAAGTCGACTGATATCAATATGTTTTGTCGGCGATGGCGTATACAGTAAGTTGCGGGGAGGTGACAAAATTAGGACGACGTTTAAAATAAAATAAAAACAAATAATCATTTCTATTCATGGTTTTCTAAAATAAGATCCACATGTGATGCAGGTATTGGTACATTTGACTCGCTTAATACGATTTTTCACTAACCATTTGTTTCTTACTGTGAGAGATTCATTTAAAAATTCCCAAGAAGGTATTTATTAATAATTCCAAAATCCATCTTTTGTTATCGTGTAGCATTCTTTTTTTCTGTCACATATATTCTAAATAGCATACGTGTCATAATGCCCTATCATTATGAGTTGAACTTTCGCGTAGATAATGTCGTGTCACGCACCTATTCAGTGCCCTCTTTTGTTGGAAGCAGGGACATTTCAAACTTTAATTAAAATGGAAGTGTCTGACGCATTTTTACCAGCCGCTATACCGATTAGGAAAAAGACGGAGTTCATTTTTTATTTCAAATTTCATTGTAAGAGGTAGTAGATTTGTTCATTGCATATAAAGTTGGAAATACTGTATTTATTTACTTTAAGCAAAACATAATCGAACACTTTTTTATTTTTATTTTTATTTTATTTTTGCTTGCTCAATAGTGAAATGTGATGAGAAAAATGGGAACCTTGTCGGTGGGGGTTAGTAAATTAAGAATAATGACACGATTGCAAATAACTTCAACACCATTATACGTTTATTCGAACAGATTTATTCTATGTACAAATGAATATCACGAACTCGACCTTTGAATCATGCTATCACTCCCAACCTATCACCCCGACTTTTCCCACTTTCCAAGTTTCCACAACAAACAACAATCACAATCAATGCGATATTGACAACTATAAATAGCCTTGCATAGTTAGTTGTCCACCTTTTACCCAGCATTAATTTCGAAATGACCATCGAGATTCTTAGAAGCTTTCCCAGGGAGCCGATATTCCAAGGAATGTCCGTACTTACGGAAAAAGATATAACGGGTCTTAATGTTGTTCTTGCAATGTCAGCTGAACTCGGATAGAAAAGTTGAGAAGAGATCTGTTCGTGAATTGGTAACTGAAAAGATGACATTATTGACATTGACTTGTAGAAATTAAAGGATGAAAAAATAGGGGGGACCGAGATAAAACGATTGTGTTTCTTTATTCTAAAAAAACGGACGTGTCGCGCGATAAATCATTAAGCAAAACACGAGTCTATTATATACATTTATTTATTTGTTAAAAACACCTTTCGCTCCCCTATTAATTTAAATATTCATTTTTTACATCCACGAATCTATCAAATGAATGGATATATTTGCTTTCTCAAATTAAATTAATTGCAATCTTCATGCCTATGTCGTAACCAAAATTAATTTCATCAATTAAAAACATCTGTTCTATTAAGTTGATTTTATGAAATCGAAAAACGATTAATTCTTATGATAGTTTCATGATTATCGAACTAGAAACACTAATGCATATTAAGATTGTTAAAATATATTCTATCTATATTGCTGAAACTCTTGAATTGAGGTTTAATGTCAAATTACATTATACTTATGGAATTACGCACGGTATGCCAACTACTGTATATCGAAATTAATTTTGATTAATCAAATAAAAGGTAAAATATAGTGTATACAGTATCAAAAATTTTTTTTTGAAAAAATATGTTTCGATCACATTCATTTATTAATATTATACAATCACTTTGAAATAACAACTCTATCTATCTAATTGCAAAAATCTAATTCGACGAAATCAGCAACTAAATAGCAATAAGATTTCTTTATAATTTTATATTGTTTTGATAAAGTCTTGATAAATTCGAGAGAGCATTGTAAAAAAAAAAAACAAAAAATAAACTAACCAAAATAAGAATCATCAATAAATTCAAGCTTACATAAATGTTTCGTTCGAAATTTTTCTAAAAGTTAATTTGCAAGTTTAATATAATTTAAAAATTTAATCTTATAAATTTTTAATTTAAATTATTAATTAATAATTTCAAAATTATTTTTATGTTTGATATACTGTATATTTAAATTCTATTAATACTTCAAATTTGATTATTGGAATAAAATATATTGTAAAAATGATAAAAAATTTTTTTGATAGTCAACTCACGGGTTTTTAATGAGGTTATTAGCAGTAGTACATTCTTGACATTACAAAAACAAGTTTTATTTCTATTTAAAAAATTACAACTAAATCCATTTATAATTATAAGGATAATTTATTTTGATAAATCACTTATAGTGAATCAGAAGTTAACATATAGTATATTGGTTTTACTGAAGCTATTATATAATATATTGTAAAGAACTTCAATTATATACTCTCTTTCATTAATTATAAACAAAAAATTGAATATTAAAACTTGATTACTCTTGGATTATTCACTAAAGTTCGTGTTTTAATATTTTTGAAAAAAAAAAGGAATAATAAAAATAAATAAGAAAATAGATTTAGTTTATCAACTCATATTAATATTATTTTATTTTAATAATTATCTAAGAGATTGTTTATTCAAGAATCAAATAGAATTTATAATTAACTAAAAATTTTAAAACTAGAATTGTCAACTTTAGTTTTAAAAATAATATAGCTTTTAAATTTATATTATTTATTTAAAAAATGCAACTTTTTAAAAAAAAAAAAAAGTTTTCAAGAGATCTTTTATTTTAGTAATAGCTATTAACTAAGTATTTTATTACAAGTAAAAATAATAGGAATCTAATAACAATTACAAAAAAATATATATATTAAATTTCTTAATATGAATCTTTATTATTTATAATTTTTATTTAATTTAAATTAAATTTAAAAACCAACCAAAAAAAAATTTTTATTTTAAAGTTGAAAAACATATCATTCATTAAATCATTCTCAGTCTTATTTGAAAGAATCAAGGATTAAGTAAGTTTTATTTTAAAAAAATAAAAAAAAAGTATTAAAAAAACATAATAATTAATATTAATATTATATTTCTATTGAATTTATTTACTATTTGATTTGATTTAAACTTTAAATTATATATTATTTATTATAATCCAAAAATATTACTACAGTATATCTTTATTTTATTTTATTTTTTTTTGTATACCCGTAACCAGGCTAGATCGTTAGTTTATTAATCAAATAAAGACAAAAGTACATTTTCATTTGAGCAGCATAATACATACTACAGCTAAACTATTAT